GTCCAGTTTTTATATACAGTCAGCAGTCAAAACTAGTGTGTGTGTGTGTGTTTGTAGTGGAGGTTAAATTATTGAACAAAGTTTAAATAGATGCTTAAAAACAACATCAGTGATACCTATAAAACCAGTTTGTGACTATTTCTTTTTATAGTGTATAAATTTCAAAGAACAAAGGAGGAAAAGATTTAGTGCTGTTGTTATCTCCTGGGCTGAATGTGTGTATTATGTAAGAATATGCAGTGTGCAAAGTGGAGCCATAAGCAGCTTGGCTTCGGCCTGCAGCTTGTCGATCAAATAGCATGTTGATTTATTTGGACTGTATGTAACACACTGCAGTAAGTTTCACTAAAAATGACTTGATGTTCTGTGCCAGTGGTAAGTTTAACATGACTGTGTCCCCCGTACTTCATGTTGGCGTTTGTCCCCATCCTCGTGTCAGCTGAAGGACTTTTGGCTGGAGTGTTGGCAGAGTTTTAATTCTGCCAGGCTCACACTGTTCAACACCTGGTGTTCTCAGTCCAGCTGTTGGCAGTGACTCTTCTATTTCCATATGTGCTCATGCGAGGGTGTAGAAATCCTGTGTGTGCTTTGATTTCACTGGGCAGCCACAGCCAGCACACTGGCTCGCGAGCTATGACCCTGCAGCACTGCTGCAGGATGTGGCCCACATGCTGGGGATAGCAGATGCACTCCCTGTGGCTGCCTGCTGCTCACACTGAAACAGGTGGGTGTGTGTAAGAAACAATCAGAACTACACTACTACACCTAGGGCCTGGCCATTAACCTGATCTTATTTTCAATTACAGTTTTGGCTTCCAGTATGTATGAAAACAAGTTTATAAATAATAATACAATTAATGTGACAGATTCTGTTTCATAATGATGTTCTCATTTTGTCTTGGGTTATAAATCCACCGCATCCTTTTTTCTTTACAGCCCTGCACTCAGCCCGGCTGTGGCTTATTTAGTTCAGCCAAAGATTCTGCACATTAAGATGATTCACTTGCTAGCAAAGCATGTTAGCATCCAGGCAGTTTGATTACCACAGAAGAAGAGCCAAAAGAGCTCATTGATAAGAGTTACGACTGCGATTCTTAACGTTATGACAGGCAGTATTAACATCGAGTAGCCACATTTATAAAATAAGTAATTTATTCTGAGCTGTCAGTCACAAGGAGAGAAATGAAATGATGTTTTTCAGTTGAATATTTACAGTTCAAGAAAACTCGCGGTTAAAAAGTGACTAATCATGATCTCAGTATTGGCCACAGTAATCATGAGCCCTAACTACACCCCTTTAGTTTCTGTAGATATAATATTAAATAAGAGATTTCAGGTTTTAACACTTTCTCCTTATGGGTTGTTGAGTGCAGACTGATGGGCTAAAATTAACATTTCATTCATTTACAGTTAAATCTGCAGCACAAAGTGTGCACAAGGTGACAGGGCGTGGAGAGGCGACAGTGGTGCAGTGGGTAGAGCAGTCATCTGCAAGGTTGGAGGTTCGAATCTTGGTGCCTGCAGTCCACATGTCGAAGTGTCCTTGGGCAAGACACTGAACCCCCCCGTTGCCCCCGATGGTTAGAGCCATCGGCTCTGTACCGGAAACAAATTCCTTGTGTGTAACATACTTGGCCAATAAAGGTGATTATCCTTATTATTATAATACTTTCTGAAGCCCCTGTACAGGATGTCATCGAAGTGAAGGAAGCGTTGGCACAGCCACCACGTGTGTTGTCAGTTTGTGTGGGACACGGGCACAGTAATGATTAGCCATTTAATGATTTTCTTTTCTAGAGGGCTTTGATCTCCATCGTGAGCGTTTGAGTGTTTCTGGAGTCTCTTGCCAGTGAGCACTCAGTCACATTTGGTTAATTAGGAGTCAATTCAGATATGGCATTAATAGAAACGACATCTGCAATGTCAAGTGCCCAGTCTAGGCTCAGTTAATTGCACACACTCGTCTGTTTATTTTCCTCCCAGCATCTCAGCTGTGGAAGCCCCCAGTGAACAGCACCACCATTAATGCCTGTATTAGATCCCTACTGTTACAGTCCAGCCTCATTAGGGCTGGGCCACAGGAAATTAATATATACCACAATGCAGATGAAGCATGAGAGAGTCTCTCATTATTTTTATGAATGTTTGTCTGAGGAATCGTTTGTTAAACTGTACTTTTGAAGTTTGTTTCTGGTGATAATGGGAAGTTACTGTTAAGTTTCTGCAGGAATTCCCCAGTCTCACTATGTCTCAGCAAATCCAGCTGTTTTGATCTGTTTGAAAGGGCTTTCATTTCAAAAAGCGGTGCTGGCGTTCTTACATAGGAGATTACAGATGCTTTGCTAGGGCACTGGTGTGGGACCTTTGTGTCAGATGAACTCAAGTTGCTTTCACTGACAATACACCATGTTGCCAGTGTGTTCGTTTCATTTTACACCGGATGTTACCTCATACTGTTGAACTGTCAGTGTTTAGTCCGGTTCACCTTTGTATTCCTGTTACTTGAAGCAGCAGAAGGTTTCAGCCATTTATCCAATACTTTTAGCTATTTCAGGCACTTAGTTATACTACTTTTAAATAACTGTGACTACTTGCATATTACTTTTATTTTATTTTTATGTAACCAGTGTTTAACCAGGGGTAATCCCACCGAGGTTAGAAACGTCCTGTACAGGCCAAGACAGCAGCATCAGACGTTCCAGACATAAACAAAGTACAACAGTATATAAAATCTCCAAATGCTAAGAACAGAGAACCTTTAGTCAAAATTGTAACGTAGAATTTATGTAGTACAACCAACTCATTTTGCAGATTTTTAAAGAATACTAATTTTTGTTTTATGGAGCTAGTGCAGAAGTGTCCCCTGGGGTGTCCCTGGCTTGAAATCACTGTTCCACAGTGTTTAGTGTTTAACTATATCAGAAAATTGGACTGTCCTCTGTGCCTAATGTCCCTTTGTACCATACAGTCTGCAGAATAAGCTTATTTAGAAAGTACATCTGACTCTTTAAATCTGCTGCGTTCTTATTGTCCAGTGTGTGTGTGTGTGTGTGTGTGTGTGTTCTTGCCTCTGGGCCAGACTAATGAATTTTATTGCGTGAAGGGTGAGCCAGTCAGCTGGAGGTTGGTTCTGAGACTTGCCTCCTGTTTCGTCTGTCAGACATAGCGCAGCGTATCCCAGACAGGCATTTGGCATTGACTCAAAATATCCAGACATCTTACTCACAGCCTCATTGTTTCATATCCCTTTTGGTAAGCAGCAAGATAATTACTGCTGTTCTGTGTATTGTACCGATGATTAGTTTTAAAGTGAAGGAGGGAGCCCACCCTAGCAGATGTGTCACAACAGGTTCACATGGTGAGATGTGATCGCATCCTGACCTTGTATGGTGCACGAGGAGAAGCAAAGAAGAGAGCAGCACAGATGTACAGTGAGGAACAGAAGAAATCATGGAGGGGTCTGAAATTCACATTGTAGGTGCATTCCCACTCTGAGAGACAGAATTAAAAGAAAATGTCAGGAAATCACATTGTATGATTCTTAAAGAATTTATTTGTCTTGCACTGCTGAACATAAGTATTTGAACACCTGAGAAAATCAGTGTTAATATTTGGTACAGAAACCTTTGTTTACAATTACAGAGGTCAAACGTTTCCTGTAGTTCTTGACCAGGTTTGCACACACTGCAACAGGGATTTTGGCCCACTCCTCCACACAGATCTCCTCTAGATCTGTCAGGTTTCGGGGCTGTCGCTGAGCAACGCGGAGTTTAAGCTCCCTCCAAAGATGTTCTATTGGATTGAGGTCTGGAGACTGGCTAGGCCACTCCA